TTCGTTCACATGATATAAAACCTACTATGAAACTTTTCCGTTTAGAATATTAAGACCCTACATAACAATAAAAATAATATTGGTTATGAAATTAGAGTTTTACATTTTTATCGAATCGTCAAATCAATTGAAAAATTAATTACCAATTCTGACTTCTGAGCATACGCCACACAAGACGTGCAGCATGTAATATTATTGTAAATATTAAATTCTGTCCGTACAATTATGTGCATATATTTCATTCCTCGGAAGAGTATTTTGACGTTGAACAAGTGTAATAAGATAATCAAATAATAATTTTTATACTTGTTGCTATATTTATATAGGTAAATAGGTAATAAATATAGCCTGTATAGGTAATTAAAAAATTAGATAAAATGTTATTAATTAATTGCAACGCGTAAGGTTTCATGTGCTGATTGTACATTAATATATATAGTAGATTCTAAACTTTATAGGGAATAGGTACCAAATAAGTACCTATATAGGTAGTAACATAGAACAATGTACTAACGTCTAACGTATCTAACTTTATTTAAATGTATTTGAAAATATTAGTAGAAATAAGTTCATAAGTAAAATTAACTATTAAGGAAAATCAAGAATTTTTAAGCAAAAGCATTTTCTTTTCTTTTTTTTTGGGGGGGGGGCTGTAGCCCACACCTGATATTACATGAAAATTAACCAGTTGGGGCGATGCCCCCAGACCCCCAAATATATTCACATAAGAAAATAAAATAATCATAAAAAAAAGGTGGGTAAGTGGATGTCGCTCTGCTGTACAGTAGGTTACAAGTGGGTCGCTGTATAATGAATGCTATTAAATTTGAATTCAATGATACAATATCATTGTATAAGTAAAACGATTCTGAGCGAAGACGGTATGTCAGTCTAGGTTTAAGACAAATTATATACATATCTATGGTATTAAAAAAAAATTGACCTATAATAAATTCCAAATTAATCATATCACATTATCACAATATCCATTAGGTACTTATAACATGTTATACATCAACATCAATAACAAACCCTGATACTATCATAGATATATAATAGCATAGAACAGTAATAATAGACAATAGTACACTTTAGAAGTTTCAAGTAGGTACCCACGAATAATACAGGGCTGGAAGTGGTTAAGGCTATTTAAAAAAGTGACTATGTGACTGAATTTATTCATAAAAGTGACAAAAAAGTTACCTACATACATTTGTTTCATAACAACTTCACAGTTATTAAACATTTGTCTTTGAATCTCTACATACCTATGATTTAATTGATTCTAACTTACTTAATTTTGTTGAAATTACAAAAAAATAATGATAATAATAAACACAAATTTTAATAACAAATGATTAATCATATTACCCATTTCAATTTATAATGTTTATAATTTAGAATAATATCCAAACTACGGCCCGCGGGCCGGATACGGCCCGCGAACCAGTTTTAACCGGCCCGTGGCCAGTTAGGTAAATATAGATAAAAAAATTATTTCAAAAATGTATTTATATTATATTATATATATACCTATTTATTTTTATTTAAGTATATTGTAAAGTAAACAATATGTTATACAAAAATATAAAGTAAACATATTATTTATATAGGTAGGTACCATATTACCATAAAATTGAAAATTATATGTGTTAATAAACTTTTGGCCCGCTAAGAGCATTTGATTTTTTTTGTGGCCCTTGAATAAAAAAGTTTGGAGACCCCTGTTCAAGATCATTGTTTAGGAACTTTCTTTATTTTAATCATAACTAAAAAACACGCCTATGGTTTGTTATAATAGGAATTCATCCCGGATGGTTTTTCAAATGTAGTAGACTAATAAATATACGAAAGTTTGATTAGGAACATTACATAAAAACAAAGATATTGGTATAATAATATATTAATATGTTATATGCCTATAAACAAGCCTATTCAACAGCCGTAAGTCATAACACAAGAAAGAGGTGTACTTAATTATAATATTACATTTTTATTATTTTATAGCATTTTTATTATAATTCTATAGGTAGGTACTATAATTATATTTATTATTGATTATTGTATATGTATTAAATTTTATTATTTTGGACTTGTTTTAAATTAAATTTCATTATAATTTAATATATGATTTAAGTAAGCAATTTTTATGATATTATATAATATTTTATGTAACTTAAATGTATTTTTCAATACAATTTTAATATAATATTTATACTTCAGTTTTGATATATTTTCATTCATTTTCGTCGGGACTTTTTTTTACCGCGATTCAGGCATGTTACTGTACATTCAAATATAAAGTTGGTGGCCATATGCAGTTTAAATATAAATTTTGAAAATAAGTGACTTAAAGTGAGTCAATTTTAAAAAAGTGACTTTCAGTTAAAAAAGTGACCTACTTCCAGCCCTGATAATATTATATTATAATCACAACAAATTAACTGGTTTTTTAATATGTAATTTCGTCCAAATTTGAACATAAAATGACTATAAAAATAAACTGTGATTGTATATTTTTTGGTAAGAGAATTAACTACTTACGTGGAATCTTGTTTTAAATTTTCGATCCTTAGCTATAAAAACTGAACATTTTATAATTTATTAATTACGATGATTAATAATTTTCGAGATTTTGAAAAATTCTGTCAAAATTCGATGTTTAAGTGCTTCTAAAAAAAAAAAATTGTGCCTATGTATTTTTAATATTTTTCAACTGATATTGTAACAATATATCAGGAGCCTTGTATTAAATTTTTACACTTTTGGCCCAACAGATAAAACTTAATTGATATTCATAGAAAAAACAACTAAAAAAATTGAAAATGAAAATGTCCGTAAACAGCTCAAAAAGAGTCAAAATATTTTCAAAATTGTATAGTGTATAGGAAATGCTAATATAAACATTCAGTGAAATTTTCATGTATCTATAGTTATTCGTTTATGAATAACAACAAAATAAGGAAATCGCTACATGAGAAATGGAGTGTACATCCAATGTTGTAAAAATTTGAATTTCAAACGCTCATAAAAATTTAATTTGGCTGTCCGGTAGAGATTTTTTTATTGATAAAGGTAGACAAACTTATGAGTTATCTTGTATTACATTTTCAAATCTTAGATTCAAAAAGAAAAATTTTTACGAATTCTTAACTCAAAATAATTTGCTAATTTTCGTGATTTTTCCATATTTTGTCAATTTTTGAACTTTAAATGCTTATAAAAAAAAATTGTGACTAAGGATTTTTAATATTTTTCATCTGCCTTTGAAACAATATACTAGGAGCCTGAATCTGTATAATTATAGTCTATGTATTTATAAATTTAGATATATTTATAAATTAATGTTTGTGGGTAGAATAGACCTCTAGGAAGAAGGATATGTTAACTTATAAAGGGTTAAATTTGTTTTTTTTTATTCATCAGATTTTAGTAGGGTTGGTTAGGATAGGATTTTGTATAAATTGATTATATTAATCTACCGTAGGTGGAATTAAGTAAAAACAACAAACTTGATATAACTTTAATTAAATGTACTTAGGTACAAACAGCACGGGGTCCGCGATCTATAGCGGTTAGGTTACCTACTTGATAGTGTACTGCTGCGAATCAGAATTTTTATTTAGGGAATGGAAAAGTCAAGATAAATGTTGAACACCACACACTGAATATTAAATAACGAATTGAACAAAGTTTGAGTCATATAGAGTTGATACATTTAACAGTCAACAAAGTGCACGGGATCAACTAGTATACAAATAAAATGTTAACAGTTTGACCAATTAATTACTTAGGATAATTCGGAAAAGATAGTAAGGTTATAAAGACTATTAAAGTATAAAATTAAAATATTTGTTTTATTGAACCATCAGTTTTTGAAATACAAAAAAAAATCCATCAGAATCTGAAAAATAAAACAATAATTTTATTAGAACCATATCATGTGACCAACAGCTGACAATAAATTAACATAGGTTTATACATAGCAGATACATGATTATGGTATATCACCATAGTATAAGTCTCCAATTTGCTAGTTATTTTTCAATTTTTGGGTTACTAAAATAAACTTATGGAAGAAAGTGAATGTATTCAAAAATGTATACAATATATTATATAAATGTACAAAGTTGCCTAATAGAGTCAATATATATTTATATAGACCATCTCAATCAAATTTACAATTTCTATAGCACACCCTTAGGAAGGCTACTGTTATAAAGCAATAACCCGCTGGAGCCTGCACTTACATCTTAAACTTAGTTGAATGCAATCCAAAGACCATATCAAACAAGACAATAATTTAAAATAGATATAACAAGCGGATACATGTTATGGTAATTCACCATAACATAAGTCTGCAAGTTTGTTGATTGTAATTTTTCATTTTTTGAATTACCAAAATAAGCTTATAACAGAAAGTGAATGTATTCAAAAATGTATATAATCACATAAGTATACATTTTGATAAATGTACAAATTTGCCTAATAGAGCAAATATATATTTATATAGACCATCTCAATCAAATTTACAATTTCTATAGCACACCCTTAGGAAGGTTACAGTTATAAAGCAATAACCCGCTGGAGCCTGCACTTACATCTTAAACTTAGTTGAATGCAATCCAAAGACCATATCAAACAAGAAAATAATTTAAAATAGATATAACAAGCGGATACATGTTATGGTAATTCACCATAACATAAATCTGCAAGTTTGTTGATTGTAATTTTTCATTTTTTGAATTACCAAAATAAGCTTATAACAGAAAGTGAATGTATTAAAAAATGTATATTATCACATAAGTATACATTTTAATAAATGTACAAATTAGCCTAATAGTGTAAATATATAATTATATAGCCCATCTCAGTCAAATTTACAATTTCTTTAGCACACCCTTAGGAAGGTTAATGCTATTAAGCAATAACCCGCTGGAGCTTGCATTACTTTAGTTTATGTTAAAATAATGTATGGATTTAACACTTACATTTTAATCTTAGTTGAACAGTCCAAAGCCCATATCATCATCAGATTCATTATCGGATTCTTCTTTCTTTTCCTCTTTCTTGGCGGCTATAATAATAAAAATAAGATATATATTTACTATTCCATGATAAAACAAATTTATTAAGTAAGAGAAACTCACATTTTTCTTCAGCAGCTGCTGGTGCTGCAGCTCCAGCTGCGGCAGGAGCCGCTACAGCTGCACCAGTAGGTACGCTGGCTAATTTAGACCTGCCTATAAAACAAAAAAAAAAATGTTTTAAAATTCAAAATAAATATTTCGGGAGAAAAAATAATAATTATTATTATGACAAGATAAAAATAATTTCAAGAACAATCTTTTAACACTTAATAGCGAATAATTATTATTTAAATTTAAAACTAAAGTGATAAATAATGAACAATTTCTATAAAATAATTGAAGTTAAAATATAAAACAGAAGAGATTCATTCTACGTGTTCATGAATAATGCATTTTGAAAAGAACAATATTATTATCAATTTTCAGATAAAATTATAACCAATAAAATGTATTAAATTGACCAATATAATTATAGATGTATTAAAAAGTAAAACTTTATATTATATAAAATGAGTACTATATTATATAAAATGAGATACCTAAATAGTAAACTTGTTTAATTGTTTTCAATAAATTAAAAAACATATCAGTAATATTTACCACTCTCAATAACTTCATCAACATTCTTTCCTTTCAGTTCTTTGACAATGAGACTAACTTTAGCGGAGTCGGATTCAATACCAACGGAACTAAGGATTTTTTCAATTTCATCACTGGTTGGTTCTTTTCCACTGAAGGAAGCTAAGAGATATGCAGCCACGTAACGCATTCTATAATATAATAATAATAAAAAATTACAATTGAGAACATTCACAATATTTTAAAAAAATAAACACATTTTGCTAATTGCTTTCTTATAATATTGATATACAAAAACCAAATCACAGTTTTGTATCTATCATGTAGGAACCTAAGGATACCATGGTTTATTAGAATATAAAACAAATTGCATTGTACAGATGGGCTTGAAGGCTTGTTGCTACAAAGCAATGTCCCCGGACATCAGTTTATTATACTGTTGCAGTAAGTTACCAATTTCTGATCAGAGATTTCATTAAGAAATATACAATCAGATAAATCTGCCAAATATATAGAACAATTTGTTTATTAATAAATCAAATGCATAATGATTATATAATGTACACCATAAACATACATAAAGAAATAAGAAGTCAGTGGTATTTTACTTAAAGAAAAAAACATAAATGAAACTAATAATTTAAATTGCTCTCAGAAAATAGTACTCATCAATTGTTATCAGCCGAAAGATGGTATTAAAATTATTCATCATTAGCAAAAATCAATGCATAGTGAAGTACAAAACAAAGGTGCATAATATAGTTTATTTATAAAATAAATCGTAATGTACAGATGGGCTTGAAGGCTTGTTGCTACAAAGCAATGTCCCCGGACATCCGTTTATTATACTTTTGCAGTAAGTTACCAATTTCTGATCAGAGATTTCATTAAGAAATATACAATCAGATAAATCTGCCTAATATATAGAACAATTTGTTTATTAATAAATGAAATGGATAATAATCACTTAAGAGGACGTCTCACCCGGATGTGTTGTTTCCGTCATACACACGTACGACATGGCAAATTTTTGTTTGCTAGTTTCAATAGGGTTATTGTCAGTTTCGATATTATTTAATATCGAGTGAATGGACCTATTACAAAACTTTTAGGTAACAACATTATCTGTGTTCTCTCGTTGATTTTTTACGATATTTTAATTTTTAAGTGAGTTAGGAACATTTTAGAATATGAATACTTTACATACCCATAACTCACTTAAAAATTAAAATATCGTAAAAAACCAACAAGTGAACACAGATACTGTTCTTACCTAAAAGTTTGATAATAGGTCAATTCACTCTAATATAAAAACCAACAATACTCTATTGAAACTAGCCAACGAACATTTGTTATGTCGTATGTGTGTAAGACGGAGACAACGCATGCGGGTGCGACGTCTTCTTAATGTACACCATAACCATAAATAAAGGAATAAGTAGTCAGTGGTATCTTATTTTTTTGAAGGAAAATACATAAATGAATATAAAACCAATAATTTAAATTGGAGTCAGAAAAGAATATTCATCAAATGTTATCAGCCGAAAGATGGTAAAAATTATTCATCATTAGCAAAAATCATTGACATAGTTTTAGTTAAGTACAAAACAAAGGTGCATAATATAGTATATTGATAAAATAAATTGTAATGTACAGATGGGCTTGAAGGCTTGTTGCTACAAAGCAATGTCCCCGGACATCCGTTTATTATACTTTTGCAGTAAGTTACCAATTTCTGATCAGAGATATTTATTTAGAAACATTCAATCAGATAAATCTGCCAAATATAAAGAATCAATTTGTTTTTAAACAAATCAAACGGATGATTACATTATGTACACTATAAACATACATAAAGAATAAGTAGATAATGATATTCTAATTTCACTTGAAGAAAAAAACATAAATAAAACTACTCACTTAAATTGCAGTCAGAAAAGAATATTCATCAATTGTTATCAGCCGAAAGATGGTATAAAAATTATTCATCATTAGCAAAAATCATTCCATAATTTAGTACGATATAGGTACATAATATGGTTTATGAGAATATAAAATAAATCTTAATGTACAGATGGGCTTGAAGGCTTGTTGCTACAAAGCAATGTCCCCGGACATCCGTTTATTATACTTTTGCAGTAAGTTACCAATTTCTGATCAGAGATATTTATTTAGAAACATTCAATCAGATAAATCTGCCAAATATAAAGAATCAATTTGTTTTTAAACAAATCAAACGGATGATTACATTATGTACACTATAAACATACATAAAGAATAAGTAGATAATGATATTCTAATTTCACTTGAAGAAAAAAACATAAATAAAACTACTCACTTAAATTGCAGTCAGAAAAGAATATTCATCAATTGTTATCAGCCGAAAGATGGTATAAAAATTATTCATCATTAGCAAAAATCATTCCATAATTTAGTACGATATAGGTACATAATATGGTTTATGAGAATATAAAATAAATCTTAATGTACAGATGGGCTTGAAGGCTTGTTGCTACAAAGCAATGTCCCCGGACATCCGTTTATTATACTTTTGCAGTAAGTTACCAATTTCTGATCAGAGATATTTATTTAGAAACATTCAATCAGATAAATCTGCCAAATATAAAGAATCAATTTGTTTATAAACAAATCAAATGGATGATTACATTATGTACACTATAAACATACATAAAGAATAAGTAGATAATGGTATTCTAATTTCACTTGAAGAAAAAAACATAAATGAAACTAATCATTTAAATTGCAGTCAGAAAAGAATATTCATCAATTGTTATCAGCCGAAAGATGGTATAAAAATTATTCATCATTAGCAAAAATCATTCCATAATTTAGGACGATATAGGTACATAATATGGTTTATGAGAATATAAAATAAATCTTAATGTACAGATGGGCTTGAAGGCTTGTTGCTACAAAGCAATGTCCCCGGACATCCGTTTATTATACTTTTGCAGTAAGTTACCAATTTCTGATCAGAGATATTTATTTAGAAACAGTCAATCAGACAAATCTGCCAAATATAAAGAATTATATTAATAAATCAATATAATATATAATATGGATAATGATTCATGTCTAGGTAGGTATTGTATATCTACATAAAGAGTAAGTCATTTAGTTATATTCTTAGTTTACTTGAATAAAATAACACAAATGAAACTAATAATTCAAATTGCTCTCAGAAAATAGTACTCATCAATTGTTGTCAGCCGAAAGATGGTATTAAAATTATTCATCATTAGCAAAAATAAATTCATAATTCAGTACAACAAAGGTACCTAATATGGTTTATTATAATGTAAAATAAATCACATGTACAGATGGGCTTGAAGGCTTGTTGCTACAGAGCAATGTCCCCGGACATCCGTTTATTATACTATTGCAGTAAGTTACCAATTTCTGATCAGTGATATTTATAATGAAATATTCAATCAGAGAAGTCTGCTAAATTTGCTATTATCATATTGTCAAAAAGATTTGTACATAATATAATTTATAAAGAAGATAAAAATTGTCCATATTCATCACTAATATCCTAACTTATTAGGTTAAATTATTACATAGAGTGAAATTCCCGAGCTTTAAATAAGTTAACTAAATGTATTACATATCAAATTGTATAAATCAATCAATTTACTTCAGTACACACATTAGCATCAGGTTTCAGACCCGAAAGATGGTATTAAAGTATTGTGAATCATCATAAGATTTAATTGAATGAAAATACGATTATCAGATTAAATTTGTTTTATAAACATATCTAAGTTGTAAATAGTGTCATCAGAATTCAAAATTTTTTTCATCATAAACTTTCAGACGAAAGATGGTGATATTTTATCATCACTTACACATTTACATCTAAGGTTAGAATGAACTACGAGTTATGAGCGAGAACAGCAGAATATACATATTAAGTAATATAATCGAATAGTTCGAGTATCAACTTACCATTTTCAATAAGTCTTCATTTACGAATTTAAGATTAATATGGATTCAGTACAATATACTGAATATTGAATAATTTAAGAGAGCACAAGGCAATGCAACAGTAAAACTATGAAAATATACTGGAGTCTACTATACTGAGTCTACCAAATATCATTGTGGTCGTGTACCAACGATCGTGTTAGACATGAAACCGACGGCCGAAAAGGACAACATACAAGTGGCAAGTACTACAACAGTCCTACGGTCATCGTGGCGACACTTCTCGTTGAAAAAACTATTCATCTTGGGACACAATTCGTGGACATGCCAAGTGATCGGAATATAATATGTTCGGTACTCTGTCGCATACGTTGTGTCTGGTCGAGCAGAAGAACCAGACGCACATATTATGACGACAAATTCCGACAAGGACAAGTCGAAAATTCGACCGTCATTCACGCGTACCTAATATTCGGGTACGACGCATTGACAGACTGCCGAAATTGCGAGTGCAAGGCGGACGAGTAAAATTTCGAGCGGGTAAGAACGACGACAAAGAATATCGACAATCGAGCGGAATAGTTGACATTGTTAAAATAAATTATAAATAAAAAACGTACTTTAAGTCTGTTGGACACGAAACGTGTGACGGCAATGGAAAAATGTGGTAAACGACGGAGACGATGAAATTCGTAACTTCGGCGATCGTAAAATGTACGGGCCACGGGGAAAGGCGCCACGGCGGTCGTCGGCGTATGAAAAGATATAGGTTAAAAAAAATAAAAGCGACCACGGTGACAACAGTAACCGTATCATGGAGGAGAGTGGCGAGCGCTCACGGACCGCCTCACTCATTGGCTCGCGACATTCCTCCATGCCGTTTGAGGTTATAAACACACACATACATCGTATTTCTTTCACTCGCGAACGAGAGACTATCCGAAGTCTCTGTTTCTGATTTCCCGTGTGGCGTTCTTTAAACGTCGTTTCGCGTCGCGCTAGGGTTAACTCAGGAAAATGAGGTAAGTTAGACGTTCATAATTCAAATAATTAGTTTGTAGTCCAAACATTATTCGCGGTAATGAGTTTCGACCATTTTCATGTGTCGTTCGTCGACCGCTCGGTCGTGACTCGCAGACCTGTGCCACATGTGTGTGACCATCGCTTGTCGCGGAACAACCCGCGTTCGTATCATTAATGTCCAGTGTCCTGCCGCTTGACCCGCCATCGTAAAGCTTGTCT